CAGCCTCCTGGGCCCGCCCTCCCCTCTGCGCGGGAGGGTGTGTCTCTGACCCGCCCCGCAGCGTGGGGCTGGGGAGGGAGAAGGTTGTGGAGAGCAGAGGGGGCACTTTTTGGCATTCCTATCCCTTCCCATCCCGCCCCGCTGGTCTCCCGGGCGGGCGTGCAGGGGGTTCGTGTGGGAGTGAGTGGGCTCTGGTCCAGGGACATGCAGTGGAGGGTGAGTGGCGCTGGCACATAGAAGTGGAAACAGGATGGCCTGGCCGGTCCTCTGTCATCTGCATTTATACCCCGTGTACCCCCCTCCCCCCCTCAGGACTGCAGAAGGGCCCTGGGGTTTATTTTACCTCTGCCTAGAGAACAGCCCTGGCACTGAGTTCAAATTCAGCCCTCCTCCAGTGAGATGAAAATGCCCACCATCCCGGCTGCCCGCTGCGGACGCCCGTCTGTTAGTCTACAGCAGGATCCAGGTGTCCCCATAGCTGCCCCCTTTCCTTCCCTGTGCTGGGCTGGCCAGATATGTCAGGGGTCACCGTGGAAGAAGGAAAGGCCAGGGACCGTGTCCTGACTCACCAGCAAGACGACTGTGAGTGACCTAGCAGTTTCCAGAACCCACGCCAGGGGAGCCCACCCACGCCCCTTCTCTCTCCAGTCTGCCCCACTTCTTGGTTTGAATTCCTGCCTGGGGAGATGTGGGTGAGAGGGTAGGAGTACTGTAGGCTATTTTTTCAAAGAAAAACAAAACAAAACCCCAACAACAATAAACATCGCATTTGGGAAAAAAAGGTAATAAAGCTGTAGGGGGTCCCCGCCCAAATAGAAGTCCCCGTGGGAAGGAGAGGGCACCTGCTCTCCACCAGATTCCTGGCACCGACCATTCCTCTGTCTCCGAGCACTTTGACTCTATCTTTAAACATCCCGTGGTGAGACCTGGCTTGTGGATGAGCTCCGACAGGCTTAGGGAGGGGACTGGCTCTCAGACACCCTGTACCAGCCCAAGCCCACGGCTGCCTAGACACCACCTTCCAGCGGGTGGGGGGAGATGTGCTCTTCACACAGGTTTTGCTTAAGCGTCTTTTCCCCTCTCGGATCAATCCTATTCCTCCGCTTGCAGTGCCTTGAGCTCGGGTTGGCCGGCCCTGTGTGGGAGACTTGCAGGGAGGGGGTATTCTGAGCCCCAGACACTGTCAAGTGTTGCAGGTTTGAGGGGACAAAGGGGTCAGGGCGCCTGGTAAAAGGCAGGGCCTACTGGGTTAGGTGGCTCAGAGGGCACTGCAGGCGGCCGTGGCCCATGCTGACACACACACATGCACGCACACAGTCCCCATGGCTCTCAGCCGCCGCCTGCTAACCAAAGAGAACCAGCACTCCAAAGAAAACCCATGTGGACCTCCTCCTCCCCAGAGCAGGGCCTGGAGTGCACCCCAACTCGCTCAGCCCTACGACACAGGTGGGGCCTCCTGTGTGATGCCCAGAATGCGCGCAGACCTTAATCGTGGTCGCCATTCATGATCAAGTTTGCTTTCATGAGTTACGCGCTCATCGGCCACGGGCCATCGGCACCCTTTGGATGGGTCTGTGAGTGACATTCCTGGCCTCGCAGCTACCTCTGTCCTCCAGGAGGGGCCGAGCCCTAGCGACCTGCCCTTTTGGAAACGTCCGGGCTCCTACCCATACCCACCCCTGGAAGCTGACACCGCCCTGCGCAGTCCTTGTGTGTGAGCTCAGTGAGAAGGCCTGTTAAGGATGCGGGTTCCTCTGCAAATTCATGCATCTTGATGATTTACAGAATCCAAAAGCTGGGGGTGATCTGTTAAACAGGAATATTCCAACAGGCGTTTTTGTTTGGGGTTTGGGCAGATTCTCCTGTTTCCCCCTTTTCGGTTGCAGTGTTGGGCCCCTTCTGTTGAAATGATGGAGAGGAGGGGGCCAAGGTCACTGGGTCACTCGGCTGGCATTGAGGGAGCATTCATCTGAGGCCTGATACAGAGCCGCTTCACTGTTCGCTGTCCCTTAACCTTCACTGGGGCCTCCTGGGTACTAAGCAAGTGAGGCATTTTCCTGCCCAGCGACCACTGACAAGGGGAAGCCTGCAGGCTGAGGTGTGGGGGCTGGGGGCAAGGCCTGAAGACAGCTGAGCCCTCTGTGGCGGGGCCTGTGGGAAGGGCATGTGGGTCCAGCACTTCTGACAAATTCTGGCTCTGGAAGCGGTTCTTGTGCTGCTGGGTGAGCCACTGTTTCTTTGTAGAGGGCCTGGCCTGCATCCTAAATCCTGGGCCCCTCAGCCCACCCACAGAGTTTGCATTAAGCAAAAACTTTAAGTCAGAAAGGAAGTGGCCAGGGGTTAGAGCAGTGCTGTTGTTTTGCTTGGGATGGAATGATTGGTTTGACCACCCTCTCCAGGCGCTGTGTCTTCTCACCCAGCATCACTGAGGCAGCCTTCCTGCTTTTCAGGGTGGAGCACCCTGCCCTGGGGCCTCTGCCCCCGGGCCCTCTCCTTAACCAGTTGGCCCTCTGTTCCAGCCTCAAGTCCTGGGCTCCTTAAAATGGAACCAGGTGGTCTGTCACTATGGGGTTTGCAGAAAATGCTGTTAAAACCAAGACCCCCGCTGGACTGAACTGGCTTAGTTACTGCCTCTCTGCTGTGTGGACGCTGCCCCACTGCTACACTGCCAAGGCCAGCCTCAGAGTCCTGGCTTCTCTGCCACCTCAGTGCCCTGTGTGCCGGCCAGGGGACTGCCCTGCCTCTGCAGGCCACCGCATGCTGGGGACTCACTCTCACTCGGAAGGCATCTGTGAAGCCCCTGGCCATGGTGGGGCCCGGGAGGAAGTGATAATGAAGTGCACAGACCCAGGGATGCCATTGGGGAGGCATTTATTTTTGTGAGGAGGCTATAAAATTAGCATTTAAATATCCCATTCCCTTCTCTCTGCCTCTCCCTCCCCAGCTCCTCCTCCCTCTTTCTCCCACCTCCTGAAAGGCCGCACCTTGATCAGCTTGTCCTGACCTTTCACCTCTGGCCTTGAGGAGAGGACAGAAAGACGTGGCTTGGGAGCCGGAGGGGAGGCAGAACCCCATTGTCCTGCATCACTGTGAGGGCCGGGGCCTGCCCCGAGACATTTGCTGTGCATATTGGTGGTTCCGGTACAAGCCTGCTCTTAAAAACAACTCTGTTTGCATGTAACTCACTCATTCTTACCAGTCTCCTGCCCCCTGCTGGCTTTGTGATGGCCCAGCCAGTGGTCTTGTCAAGTGTGGGGGGGCCCTGGGCTCCCCTGTGAGCTTCTGGAGATCTTGAGATGCTGCCCCTGTGAATACCCCCATCTGGAAGCGGTTCTTGTGCTGCTGGGTGAGCCACTGTTTCTTTGTAGAGGGCCTGGCCTGCATCCTAAATCCTGGGCCCCTCAGCCCACCCACAGAGTTTGCATTAAGCAAAAACTTTAAGTCAGAAAGGAAGTGGCCAGGGGTTAGAGCAGTGCTGTTGTTTTGCTTGGGATGGAATGATTGGTTTGACCACCCTCTCCAGGCGCTGACAAACTCTCCGCTCACTCTTGTTAGCAATAGTGACTCAGGAGATTGGGCTGCTTCCAATGTCACCAGAAAGAGACCCAGGGCCCCCTGTGGCCACATTTTCTATCCCAACCGTTCTTGGGGTTACAACCTCCATTTCTGGCTCCAAAAGAATTTTCCCCACCCGAACCCCAATAATAAATGGATCCATGATAATTAAAAGTGGAGAGGAGGGGGCCAAGGTCACTGGGTCACTCGGCTGGCATTGAGGGAGCATTCATCTGAGGCCTGATACAGAGCCGCTCTAAATGGATCCATGATAATTAAAAGAAGAGAGAAAAATATTTTTGTTAGGACAGACCATCGTAGATTTTTAGCAATGTGTATCTGTGTGTCCTTCACAACTTTTCCTATTCTGCCTTTTTTTCATTTTCCTTTTTTAAAAAATATTATGTACTATATTTTTAGTCTCAAACACACTATATATTATATATATTTAATTTTTATATATAAATATAAATGTTCTAAAAAGTACCATGTTTTGTGTTATTAATGCATGAACAGCTCCGGATACTTCAAAACTTGCCTGATTTGGGGTGAAACGGTCCAAATGTTGGGAAAAGATAGATTTTTGGATTGAGATCGCAGACATCGTATTTGTGTCACCTCCAGGCCATGGGCAAGCACATTTTATCCAGCGGTGTGTGGCTTGCAGAACCCTGAGGCCAACGATGGCAGTTCAGGGACAAACAGCTCAGGCCTCCGTGCTTTGGGGACACAGCATCCAAAGGTTCTATGCCAAATCTGATTACAGGATTGGAAAGGGGGAAACTGATTCTCTTTGCCCATTTTACAGGATAGTTTTTTTACAAAGTTGTTTTCTTTGTTTTTGTTAATCTTCACCTGAGAGTATTTTTC